CTGAACACACAGCAGCCCAGAATCAAAGCCCCGAGCCGCTGAACACACAGCAGCCCCGAGCCGCTGAACACACAGCAGCCCCGAGCCGCTGAACACACAGCAGCCCCGAGCCGCTGAACACACAGCAGCCCCGAGCCCCAGCCCTGAGCCGCTGAACACACAGCAGCCCAGAGCCCCAGCCCTGACCTGCTGAACACACAGCAGCCCGGAGCCAGATCTGAGCTACTGCTGCACACAACAACCCTGAGTCACTGAACATACTCAAGACTCAAGAACAAACTCTAGCCCTGAGCCCCTGTCCTGAGCCGTTGAATAAATAGCAGCCCAGAAACCAGTGAACACACAGCAGAGCAGCATCCTCACTTTGAGTGACTGAACACACAGCAGCCTAGTAATCCAACACTGATATGACATATCTTTTATATCACAAAGCAATCTTCCACTGTTTCAAAGTGACTTTTACCAAGAGCATAAGGTGATTGTTTTCTGATTACTTTTCATTTTAACTAATTACATATAAGTTCCAGAAAAATATCTTCTATCTGGGCTTTAAAAAACTGAATAATGAGCAAAAACACAAAGATCCCCATTCAATAAAGAAAAGCAATAGTCTATTATATTGTGAGCCAGGCGACCCAGAGCATTTCATTCTATTGAATTTCTCTGCAGGAAAATGGCATATACATGTGGTAATCACCCATAATCTCCATAACGCACACTGAGCTAATGATAAAAGAGTGCAGGTGACTGTGATCAGGAAGGGTGTGACTGACCTCTTTTGGCTTTGACCTGCTTCACTCTCCACACAGTTTTATGGATCTCAAAATTGTAGTTCTCTGGCAGAGCACGGACAGCCTCCTGCAGCTCGGGGTCCTTCAGGATCTCATCGGGGATCTGGTTAGCCACCCTTCTGGGTCCTCGAGCTAAGGCAGACGCAGGACAGAATTGTCTCACAATTTCAAATTTAAAGAGCTTTATTGGCAACACTGATTAATTAAACAGAAAAT